CCCCCGCGATCTGAATTTTTGGCGGACCATAAACGAACATTTAGCGAACAGAAAGCAAACGTTTCCGCGACGCGGACGGATCTAGAGACAAAGTGATGGCGAACAAGTAGCGACTAAGGTACGCCATCGGGAAAGCGACCTATGTTCGCTTTCAGTTTGGCAGATGGTGCAAAGTAAAACATATGCGCACTTTTGACGTACTTTGACGAACATGCAGCGACCTACTAGCAAAGGTCGCGACTAGTACGTTTCTCGTCATGACAAACTAAAAACAACCTAATAGCAAACAGAATATTTTGCGGCGGGTTTTCATTAAACGTTCGAATTTTGATAGATTGTTATGTAAAAATCAACGTTTTAGTGATACTAGATAATCTAGGGACCCTTGAGCCCAAAAGAGGGTGTGGTTCGAACCGTGATGTGTGGTTTCAGTACTACCCCCTTTACAATTCTGTGATATGAAGCATTTTTTACGATTTAATAGACCTTCCTTTCTTTTTCACAATGTTTTCGTCAGGAAATGCCCCATAGCGCAAAAACGGCACAAGATAGAGCAAAACGGACGAAATTTTCGTCTTCAGAGTTCTACTTGCACGAGTTACCTCTGAGGAGCCCTTAAAAATATATTTGAAAGTAAATAAATTTTGCAACCTGTGGTTTTTAATTTTTTTGAAAGTCAATTTTTGAGGTAGAATGCTCATCTTCGAACTAGATCTGTATTTTTATGATACAAAACGACCCTGAAATTCCCAGGCCGCTCTTTCAATTCTTTCTCGAGTTATCGTGCGGACACACAGACAGACAGACAAACGGACAAACAGAATGAAACTTTTCCGGTCAGTGGAGTAATGGGCTTCGCTAATCGCTCAGCCAAAAATGATGTGGCTCGTGCATATGTCAAGTGCATTCTCAAATACAATGGAACCTGTGCTCGTGAAAAATGTGACGTCAGAGGAGTGAGATATAGAAACAGAATGACATTTACTGCTCTTGATTCTCCTCTTCGAACTGATGAGAGGTTTCGAAACAGGGACAATCCATTACATCATCAACCAGGACAAGTATCTCCTTTAGAAGGCATAGGAACACTTATGGTCTCGCAATTCAGATTAGACCCACTTCATCTTGTCTATTTAGGATCCTTGAAACGATGGCTGGAGTTAACATTGGTCGAGGCAGGTGCCTTCCATCTTAGTGATGAAGAAGTATAAGAAATCTCTCAGGGTTTATTGGAGATTAAAGAATACACCCCTTGTGAGTTTAACAGGAAACCCCGAGTCATGAAAAGAACTGGATATCGATTCAGAGGACATGACTTAAGGAGAATACTGCTCCATGATGGTCTGAAGATATTTCTACACTTAGATGAGAATTTGTATAGAAATTACCTTTTGTTACACTCTGCTATATACATCATGACAAGTCGTCACTCGAGGGATTTTTTAGAAGTAGCAAATGATATTATAAGAGACTTTATTATTCATTGCAGTAGGGTTTTTGGCAGAGGATTCGTGGTCTATAATGTTCATATGCTTTGTCATCTCTCAAGCGAGTGTGAAGAACATGGAACGTTAGATGATTTTTAGATGATTTTTAAATTTGAGAACTTTTTAAAAACCATGAAGCAACTGATGCGCTCTGTTTACCTCCCTCTTCAACAATTATTCGATCGTGATGCTGAAACAGAAGGAATGTTGACTAACCCTACTGAGCATATTGATCCAGACAATGTTGTACTTTCAAGAGAACATGTTCGACCTGCAGAACTTATTAAGGGAAGACAATATAAAATGCTTCAAACAGGCAATATCACTTTAAAACTTACTCGCTCTGATTATTTCTTCATGACTAAGGACTCTGAAGTTGTTGCTCTGTCTAATATAGTTCAGTCAAGAGAGGGTGAAATAATTCGACGAGTCCTACGAGAAGAATACGATCTCGCCGCGCCGAACCAGACAAGTACGATCTCGCCGCGACAAACCAGAAAAGTACGATCTCGCCGCGACTGTCCAGAAGCGTACGAACTCATTTCGTCGCGGCGCGTGCACTCGGAGCTTTAGACGCCTCTTACTCGTCGCAGGTATATCGCAGCAGTTTGGGCGGCATCTCATTTTAATCCCTATTGTTTTGTAATTAAAATGGAATATCGCCCAAAGTGCTGCGACATGCCTGCGACGAGTAAGAGGCGTATAAAGCTCCGAGTGCACGCGCCGTGGCGAAATGAGTTCGTACGCTTCTGAAGCGTCGCGGCGAGATCGTACTTTTCTGGTTTGCCGTGGCGAGATCGCACTTGTCTGGTTCGGCGCGGCGAGATCGTATTCTTCTCGTAGGACCCGTCGAATTTTGATTGGACGTAAATTTTTAAGGCTTGAGAGTGCATATCAATTTCCAATTAATTTCACTTTACTTGGAATATATAAAGTCTCTGACATTGGAAATGATAGATTAATGTGGAATGTCAATCAACTATCGAGAAAATGTTACATCTTACCCATTGGGGAATCTTATTTCAGTGTTCCCTTGGTGCACTTCTGTCGAATCTAGTCACAACTTTTTAACCACTTCTGTTCTTTATACCCTTACAGTTCTCAGTTGTGCGATTTTTACCTGACTCGGAAAATGAAGACAGTGACTCAGACTTTCCTGAAGAAGAGGTCGAAGTTGTCAGTTCAAGCTGGATACCAGATCACAAAGCCAAAGATCACTGCTTCTGGCCCCCCAAAAAATTATGGAATAGAGCCAGTATCTTGGCAACGGATCATCAAGAACCAGATTTGGAAACATGGACTTTGCATCGAATAGCTTTTGATCATGATTACAGTATGTAAATGTTGATTCATTTTACTTGTGGTTTGCAAATGTATAGTTTCCCAACATAATGAGTAATCATGTGTTCCCTCTATTTCAGAGTCAGTGTACACAGCAAGACAAAACAGGAACAAAGTTGCTAAAAATGAAACATGCTCCACTGAGATGTCTGACAGTGGCCCTTTGAGAAAGAAAAGGAAGAGTAAGATGCCCTCTCGGTTTTTAGATAGTCCTGAAGAACACCAATCAATCAAGAAGAAAGTTTCTGGGAAACAGGAGATTAAGTCAGTCAGAGGAAAGGCAGGAAAGGGAAATAATGTCTCTCAGCAACAGCATAGCTCAGACTCCGAACGGGAAGAAGTACCACCCCCATCAGTTAATGTTGATGCGTTAGAGGCTAAATTAAACAATTTATTGGCCAAGAGACAAGTCTCTGCTGTATCCGTTCAGGGCCAAGGCAAGAAGTCTATTAACCCCTTAGGTAAGTTACTTTTTCAAGAATATAACTAACTTGGGCAAAACAGAGTTTTCAGAGTAGTATAAATGTTTGTTACTTCTGTATTTCAGATCTAGCTTCCTCTAGTAGCGCTGGTGTAGTATTCGGGCAGTCATCCAAGTCTAGGAAATCTACTCACCAACACGGGCAGTCATCCAAGTCTAAGAAATCTACTCACCACAGTCCAAATTCATTGAAAAATAGCTCAGTAATTCCTAACGCAGGATCAAGGTTGGTAGTGGAAGCTGCCTCCAGTGCTGCACGTGTCAATGTCTTTTCTAGGCAGAATAAGGCTCAAAAACCTGCAGGTAACCCAAATCAGAATAGACCCCTATATCTTTTCATGTATATGGTTTTTCTTTTACATACTTATATTTGGTTCATGTTCTAGCTTCAGATAGAGATGACACTGGATATGATACACCTGTTGATATGGAAGAAGTTGAATTGGGGGTAGACAGTTCTGTGCCACAAGGCAATGTATCACAGTCAGATACTGGTGCTGACTCTTCACATGAGCTGCAGTATTCACCGCCTATTTCCAATCCTGACTCTTCACATGAGCTGCAGTATTCACCTCCTATTTCCAATCCTTCAAAAGATACTGCAAATATTGGTACAGCAATGTTTTGTTATTTTTTGCAAGGATCCTACATTTGGCTGAATCTCAATGTGTTAATTATTAACTGATCATTAATTTTGTTTAGGAATCACCAGCGAGGATTCCAACCGTTCTGATGCACATAATTTGTCTCCTGAAAAGTCAAATGACAATCCCATTAACAAGCCAACAGGTGAGCAAAACATGATTTATAATTCAATCCATGTATTTTAACTGTATACCTTTCAATGATAGCTGCTTTGCTTCTATTAATTTATTTCCTCCCATAATTGCAGAGAGAACAAAGGGGACCTCCCGTACAAGTGCAGACAAGGCAGAAGAATGTAAGCAATCTTTTCAAAGGCTACATATTTGCAACCAATTAAGATTTCATTTTTTGCCTCCATACTAATTATTATTTTCATTCAATACAGTGAACCCCTCTGTTGTGGCGCTTCTCTTTGAAAAACTTGAAGAGCTGTCTATCCGACAGAAAAGAATTATGGGCACTCAAAGGCGGATGATTTCATACATTGTGCCAGAAGAAGATCTTGCAGAAGAAGATATTGATGAATTGCCCGACTTTCCTATTGATGATGTTGATGGTTTTGAAGAGTTAGAGTCCATCCTTAGTCTTAAGCAAAACCGTCAGAATTTTGTATGTATTCTATTGCTCCTGCTAAAAGTAACATTTTAATTTTTCTGGAAGTTTATAAGGGTCTGTGATTGTAGGTTAAAATGCTAGTGGCACTACCCTTTAACGAACAATCAGAGAAATATGCTACTGGCGTCATGTTAAAAGAAGTTATAACGAACAGATTGTCCAGGCTGGTCAGTTGGGGCTCAACACAGGGGAGCAAATTATGCTTCAAAAAATCTCAGTGCTACAAGGGTATTCAGAGTGAGTTTTCTCTCTACCTTCTTGTGTTAGAACTAACCAATACCTATCTCTTTTGATGTAACTTACCCTATTCCGTTCATTATTTTCTTTGCAGTTGCCATTTTAAAACTCTTCCCCCAATCTAAGCTAACCATCTGTCAACAGAAGTGCCAAATTTGGTTCAACACCAGTAACCAGAGAACTGTGAAACCAAAGCAACCAAAGGCTAAAAAGGTCAAGTGATATGTA